AGCATATGAAACAGACTTACGGGGCATTTGTGTTTGTTTTATCAGAGAAGGGGACATTTTGGTGTATCCTTTTAAGTCTCAAGCATAGCTAACATAGTTAAATGCTTTTTTTTTTTTTTTTTTAATGTTTGATCTGTATGTAAGAAGATAGGACAAATAAATATGAAGAATAAAATTTGGAGCCAGGAGACATAACTTGAATCCTGATGCATATATCAATACTGAATTTGAGGGCCAGCCTCTTCTGTGAATCTAAAGATGTACAAGTAGTATTTTATCATAGGAGTTGGGAAAAATGAGCAGGGGTAATTTCATTCATAGACATTGGATTAGAGAATACACATCACAATACAATGACCAAGTAGTCAGTAATCCTAAAAGCTAGTAGGAACAACAAATGAATACAGCAAATTACAAAAATCCATAGTCTTTTTATACATAAGCAATGAACAAGAAGCAAAAGAAATTAATAACTTAGTAATTGATTGCGAGCTATTCTCTCTTTTCAAAGCAATCTAACAAAGGAGATAAAAGACCTACACTATGAGAACCACAGGATGTTACTAAAGTATTCCAGTTGCGACATAGAGATGGAAGGACATCCCATGTTCATTGATGGGGAGAATCAGTAAAAGCAAAATGACTATCCTGCCTAATCTGCATCAAAATCCCAGCAATATTTTTCAAAGAACCTAAACAAAAAATAACGAAATTTGTAAGACCTACAAAAGGCCTCGAATTGCGGAAGCAACCCTGAGTAAAAAGGAGAGTAATGGCAGTATCAAGTTACTTGATTTCAAAAACTACTGTAAAACAGCAATATTAAAAATGGTATGGTATGGCATAAAAATAAATAGGTCAGCGTGACAGAATTGAAAGCCCCAAAGTAAAACATTGTTCATATGAGCACGTAATCTATAAGACAGCTATGATCATAAAATGGAGCAAAGACAGTTTCTTTAATAAATGGTGCTGGAAAAAATTGGAAGGCCACACACAAAAAATAAAGTTGAATTACTAAAACTTAAACAAAACTAAATTCAAATGTGACAAAGACCTGTGACAATAAAATACATGGAAGAAAACAATTGTAATCATTTCATGATACCAACAATTACATATCAACAATGAAGTTTTTTGGTAACAACTTCCATGGCAAGAGAATTAAAAACAAAAATAAATAATTGAGATTAACTCAAGGTAAAAAACTTATGTACAGCACAAAAATACAAGATGATTACATAGACAACCTATTGAATGGGAAAAATATTTGTAAAATAGATAACTGATAAGGGATTAATATCCAAGATATAGGGCCTCCCTGGTGGCGCAGCGGTTGAGCGCTGGATTGCGAGGCTGTCTGCAGCCTCTGCAGCGCTGGTTTGATTCCTGGCCACCAGCAAGGGTCCCACATGGCACGACAGACCTCTCCTGCCTCGCCCGCTGATCCCCTCAGCAGTGTATTTCGTCACTCTGCCTGTTCTGTTCCCAGCTCTGGTGAATTCTCTCACCCTCCCATGCTTCTGACTGTACCCAGTGCCTGTATAAATAAATAAATAAATCTTTAAAAAAAAAAAATCCAAGATATATAAAATGTTCATAATTCATCATTTTTAAAAAACCCAACAAATAGCTATGGACAGTCCACCAAAGATGATATCCAGAATGCCAAAAGACATGAAAAAAAGTTTATCATTTCTAATAAGAGATGCAGACTGAAACTCATTGAGATAACTCACACCCACAGGAATAGCACATATTTAAAAAGACCCCCAGCAACAAGTGTTGCAGAGAATGCAGAAAAAAAAGAAACCATAATACACTGTTAGTGTACTGGTGAACTGGTACAGCCATTTTGGAAAGCAACTTGGGTTTACCTTAAAGAACTAAAAATGCAATCCCACTCCAAAGAATATGAGACCATCAACACAAAACCCCAGATGTGGGCCTCCCCTGGTGGCGCAGCAGTTGAGTGCCGGACTGTGAAGCTGCCCACAGCCTCTGCAGCACCAGTTTGATCCCTGGCCGCTGACAAGGGTCCCACATGGCACGGCAGACCTCTCCTGTCTCACCCTCTGCTCCCCTCAGCAGTGTATTTCGTCAGTCTGCCTGTTCTGTTCCCTGCTCTGGCTCTGGTGAATTCTCTCACCCTCCTGTGCTTCTGACTGTACCTGGTGCTTGTATAAATAAATAAATAAATAAAAATCTTTAAAAAATAAAAAAGCAAAACCCCAGATGTTCCACAGTGTTCAGAGCAGCACTGTTTACAAAAGCAAAGATGTAAAAGTAGCCTAGATGTCCATTGAAGGACTATTGGATCAAGAAGCTGTTGTCTGTCCACACTGTGGAGTCGTAGTATACAGCCCTGAGAAAGGATGACATGCAGCCATTTTCATCAAAGTGGAGGGAATTTGAGAGAATTGCTTGCAGTAAAGTAAGAACAATATAGACAAGTACTGGACATTCACACAGCAAGACAATTCCTAAAACACTTTTGAAACCAGTGGACATCAGTAAACAACATCCTGAGGGCTCTGAGGTTAAGAGGGAATGGGGAGGGCTCGGGGCAGGGGACATAAGGGATGATGGTAGGGGAAATATTTTAAAGAATACAAAAAAAAAACCCAAACCCAGCTTTTTTGGTAAGAGATACACTGCATTGTTCAGCGAGATTGGGTTGCCTACAGATGCTATTCCCTAGTGAGGTGTCAGTGTTACAGTGCCAGTTGGGGATTCTTGGGGACTGCATTGATCACTCAGACTCTGTGAGTTTCCAGGTGGTCCAGAGAAGACAAGTTAGCTTTTCCAAAGACCCACAAATACTTGAGAGATCTAGAACCCACCCCAAATTCAGTGCCCCTGTGCTGCCTCTTTTAGTGGAGAATGGAGTCCTACATTGATAAGGAAATGCTACCTAATCCAGCCTGTCAAGCATGATCATGGAAAGGGATCTTCATGGGTTTCAGGTTCAAAGCCCCAACTCTGCATTTTATGGGCACAGTAACTGTGGGTTAGAGAGGTGAGGCGTCATTATAAAAAGAGTAGTTCTTTTCTCTTTCCACATTTATTAGCCGTGTGGATCTTCTGTAAAGAACTTTCCCTTGTCACCTATTTAGTTACCTTCAAATACAGACTATGTAGAAAAGATAGGGTAATATGTCTCCCTTTCATTGACTGGTTTTGGGGGTGTTGGTTTGCTCTTATAAAATCCAAATGCATGTCAGGTTGTAGTGAGAGGCGCTATTTTGGAGACAGTGGTCAGGGAATGCCCTTTTGTTTGAGTGGCATTTGAGCAGAACTATGAGTAAAAAGGGTGAGGAGAGCCACGTGATAGGAGCTAAGAGCGCCCAGTATGAGAAGCCAGTGAACGTGACTGAAGCCTAGAGTGTCAGAGGAGGGAGCAGAGTGGCTGGGCCGCCAGGAGCCTTGCAGGCTGTGGTCAGGAGCTTGGATTTTATTGAGTGAAATGGGAAGTCACTGGGGGCAGGATTGAACAGAGCAGTAACAGTGTCACTGCAAAGCGTAGTACGGGAAAAACCTCATTTTAAATACTGCTTCGTTAACACCACTACCACCATCTACTTTACCATCGAAGCTGTAACAGAATGTCTGTGTGACTCCTGCATAGTGTCTGGCGTGGAACATCGTAGGCCCCTGGAAATTTGTTCAAGACATGTTATAAAACACACTCCAGAGTCTTAGGTGTGCTTGACACTAATTTGGTTTTGACACAATTGATGAAGTCTGTGTTTGGTAACTGATAACTAACCAACTCTTCAGTTGCTTCTTTAAACTAGTTTAATGTACCTGCCATTGCATCTTATTTATAGCTAAGAAGGACATGTCTCCTATCCAAAAGCGCAATCAAAACTTTTAGATGCTGGGTTAAAAAGGAGGGTCAGATCACTCCTTTTATATTGCAGTCTAGTCTGTGTGGATACCTTTTTAACACATGTTAAAAGAGCAAAACAAATAAAAAAAATCCCATATACCTATCCATTACTACTATTTATTTGGATTTTACAATATGGAGATGTTAAAACTTTAAATGCATGTAACTTAATTCTTGCACTGCATTGTAGGGAAGCGGTTGTTTTTCCCTTTTAGTGATGAGGAAAGTGGGCTTAGAAAAGTCTGACGTAAACTAAGGCAGGATTTGCAGCCAAACTCCTGTGTGGCCCCTATGCTTTGTGTCATTGCCCTGCCCAGCTGTCTGCATAGTCTTGAACCTGTCCTGTTGTAGGTATTCAGTACTTACTTGAGTTAAGTGATATTTCCACTGGAAGCAAGAGATGAGGTCTTAGAGCCAGCTAGCTTAAAAGGGGGGTGGGGGGGGAGGCCTATAGGTGTGTACTACGTTTTGCAGTTTACTTAACTGCTAAGTACCTTGATAGTCCTTGTGTCCAACCATCAGTCCTACTATTGTGTGTGAGTTGTGTTGTTTGTTTCATTGTTTGTTTGCTATTTTTGCATTTGACTACTAGATTTATGAGTCAGATATAGCAGATATGTTGGGGTAGAGTCTTTGTGAACTCTGCGTTCTAGGAATGCATAGCAGTCGGTCATTGACTGTAAACACGGACACCCACGTCCACACACACCAGAGTGTTGTCTTCCTGAGAGCAGGCACTCTGGATGCCCTTTGTTTGTGGCATACAGTAAGTGCGTGCGAATGAAGTTGCATGCATTTGAATGAATGAATGACCTAATGACTGACTTGTGATCATTTGACTGCTCTCCAGCACTTGTCATTACACAGGGACATAGTTTTAGTGGAGTGTGTGGGAGAAGCCCAGGGCAACTAGATTGCCTGAGGGCAGCACCTAACAACCCTACCTCCAAAATTGTTAGACTCCCCTTCCCAGGGACCAGATACCCTCCAGCACTTTTCTGGAGGCCGGACATGGAGGTGGGGGTGGTGGTGTGGAACTTTGAAGTTTCTGTGCTTTGTAAAATAGAAGTAACCAGTTCTGGTATTGTCTGGTCTCCATCTGTTTCAGAGAGAAGACTCCATGTATAAAAGACCATAAATACAGAGCAAGTAATGAAAAGGAAATACATTGTATCCAACTGTTCATACCAGCTGTCTCTATAAGCTTTGCAGGTGATTCTCACATTTTAGCTTATGTGGTCCTATAGAATTTGAATTTTGCATAATGAACAGTGTAACTTTCAAAAGCTAGAAGTTTGATGCTCAGTGATGGCCTTAGATACATGAGTAAGGAGAAGGATTATTCTGACTCTCCCTCAGTCCTCCCCTGTAGTGGGTTGTTGGAAAAGTCATGATGCATTTTTGCTTGAAAAACATAGAAGAAATATGTCATGACTTTTCCGACAACCCAGTAGAAATTAAGAAAAAGGCTACGCTTATGTCAACAGCAGCACACTATAAATATAAAATTTCCGGCCTCCCCTGGTGGCACAGGTGGTTGAGCGCAGCACTGTGAAGCTGTCCACAGCCTCTGCAGCGCCGGTTCGATCCCGGCCAGCCAGCGAGGGTCCCACATGGCGCTGCAGACCTCTCCTGTTGCACCTGCTGCTCCCCTCAGCAGTGTATTTCATCAGTCTGCCTGTTCTCCTCCCTGCTCTTGTCTCTGGTGAATCCTCTAACCCCTCCCCTCCCCCCCGCATCTCTGGCCTGTACCCCAGCTCTTGTATGCATAAGTAAATAAATCTAAAAAAATAGTCCCTAAATGCTAACCTTTTAAATATATATATATATATATATAATTTTACTGAATATATATATATATATATATATTTTCACTGATCAGTAACCGTCCCAATCATTGGAACAGCCAAGTTTTCTAAAATATCGAGGGGTGATTGACAACCACTGCTGAATTTGGAGATAGTGAAGATCCACGCTTGGTGTCTGTAGGGAGGGATAGAGAGATTTGAAAATAGAGTTAATTGAAACTGAACTGATTATAGGGGAAAGTTAATGAAGGGAAAGAGTGGTATGACAGCCAGATTGGATGAACAGTGATTGGATGAACAGTGGATCCCTTCACAGTGAAGAGAAGGTCAAATAAGAAGTGAGACTTGAGGAGGAGATTTGAACTTCCCAGAGGACATCTAGAGGGAGCAAAAGTTGGAGTGTTGGCTGACTGGTTGGGGCATGCGCTAGGTTTCAGGTTGTTGAAATGTGGGTGGATGTGATCACTCAGGGAGAGTGTAGGTGAGAAGATAGCCAAGGTGGAACCTTGAAGGACATCAGGATTGGTGTAAAGATGAGCCACCGAATGAAGTGCAAGAAGAAAAGGCATTTGGAGAGACTAGGAAACAGCCAGGGGGCGTGGGCGCAGAGGCAGCGGGGTGTGTGGTGCCCCGTGTTCACGCAGATTCCTTTCTGCAGATCTGACCCACGGCTTCAAGAATGTCAGTTTTAATTGTAAAAGTTCTATATTAAATTATTCTTTTCCCTAAAATTTTCAAGTTAAATTTCTCCTCCAAGGCATGGTTATCTTTGGGATTCAAGCATATACCACTAAGTACTTTTAGAAGCCAGCTTACCTCCAGCTTGAGAAAAGTAGGTTTGGATTTCCAGAGCTCTCTTTAGAACCCTGGCAGTGGTTGGCTTTATCCCAGTGATAATTTTAGCACAGTCTAAGGAATCCTACTGAGATTTCTTGAGAACCATATTTCTTTTCTTTTCTTTCTTTTTTGAAGGGATGGGGAAATTAGTTGCATTTGAAACTTAAACGGTTTTTTACAATTACAGTCGATAGTTTTGTCTGTTTCCCTCATGGATTCCAGTTATGTCCAAGACATAGTTTAGGCAATTATAAAATATTACTAAATTTTCTTGAACATACAGAAGAACTGAGTAGCGATGAAAACCCATGTATCTACCACGTATCTACCAAGTGGGACCTTGACTTAGAAGTAGTTGGCATGTTCAGGAAGCAGAAAGGACTGCAGGCCAGACCTCTAATAAAAGCCAGAGGGCTGTGCTGGAGCTGGGGAGAAGCTAGAGGGCCATGGATAGGGATTTGGTCATTATTACAAGGGCAACAAAACTATTGAAGGGCCTTAATAAGTGGATTCTTGTTATTCCCTAAAATTCCCCCAAATACTGAGAAAGGAGGGCAGAAGAGATGAGAAAGGCAGATGGAGAGGCATCTTTAAGCCACCCAGCTCTCACTTAACCAGTGTGACTCAGTTTGGGCATCTCTATACTCTTGGGGTTGTCGCTGCCCAAACTCAGACATGGGGTTACAGTCTCAGCCTTGGGGTGCTGCTGCGTGTGGGTCAGGCCCCTTCGAAGATGCTCCCCACTCTGGGCAGGAAGCTTTGTAGTTGGAGCGGCCGTTCTTGGTGGGGTCTCGGCTGTCATTTGAGCAGTGTTGGGAGGTCATGTGTCATGCTATGAATGGATCATTGTTTCTCATGAAGAAGGATAGAAGAGATTGAAGGAAGAATTAAGTTGTGAAACACAACTCTTTAAATTTATTTGGTTCCAAGTCGTCTTGCTCCTCTTTACTGCTAAAATCAATTACTGTTTAGTTGCCCACTTTAAAAGTAGAAATGAATGAAATAAAAATTAACAGTATGATCTGTGTGTGCATATATGTGCAGATGCCTGTGTGTGTGACATTAAATAACTTGTGGGTTAATTTCAAAGTTTGAAATACACTGCTTCTGTTGGTTCTGTCTTAGCTTCAATATTGCTAAGATAAATTAGTAAATTGACAACCTTTCTCCTGCATTTAGCTACCCATTCAGCTGTTTTGTGTGCAGTATTTTATGTATTAAGGATAGATTGTTTTATATTATAAATGTATTTAAATTATATTTGAGCATAAATAAGGAAGTGGTTATGGAAACCTGAGAAAAAATGTCAGTCTTCCACCCTTTTCTCGGTCCCTCAAAGTAACGTCTACCAACTTTGTGGCTGTTTCACTGCTTTCTCCACCTTAGTGATCACACTCCGGTGACACAGCCAAGATTTCACCTCGGCCACTTTTGTACTTATAAACTCAGTAACAAAATGAATACTTAGTAGCTCTGTGTTTAGTAATCTGACATGTTTATTAAGAATGTTATTTCTTTAAAAACTGCTCTTTACCCTGCCAGCAGTTAGCGCTCTGGGCCTGTTCATTTCCTGCCTTCTCCGTGGTCACTCCGGAGCCTTTCCTGAATTGTAAGCTTTTCTGTGTTTTCAGCTATGTGCACACGTTAGTGTAAAATATTTAACAAACCTAGACATAAGAAACAAACATATCTCTAATGCAGAAACTTTAAACTTTTGGGAGTTTTTTGTTTTGTTTCTCTTTGGTTTTACTTCCAAAAAGTTGACTACCTCTGGGCGAGGATGGGTGACTCTGAGAACATGCGTGAAAGGAGTCAGAGACTCAGCATTAGTGCTTTCCATAAAGAACCATGTACTCTTCTGTAGTAAGTGTACTTTATTTTAAAATCAGTAAACCATGAAAGAATATATGGTGAGGGGTGGGAGAGAGGGCAGGAGGCGAAGCGGGGGACGCGCGAGCTTGTGGGTGGATGTGCTCGGACCCCGCTGACCAGCGCCTACTTCAGGTCTGGCTGCCAGTCACACACTGTTTCCGTTTCACGCTGCGGTCTTCCCCGTGTGTCCGCAGCATCTAGGCTGCCTGAACTCTAACTGAGGGCAGCGTCATGCCTCCTTTTTGCTCACAGAAGCGCCTTGTGCGTGCGTTCTCTTCGGCAGCGATACCTGCAGTATGACTTGAAAACTTCCCTTTGCCCTGGAACGTCACTTCTTCCTCCGCTGCAGCAGAGCTGAAAATATCTCCGTTGCATAGCACCCTGGCACTTCCTGCAAAATACCGTTCAACATTCCCACCCTCACCCAGCTTGGACTTGTAGCATCACGATTATTTGCAGAGCACTAGGCAAGATGATGTTTTCAGAGATTTAGTGTGTGACTCCACTATGTTTATAGAGAAGCCAACCTGTATTGCACCCTCCCTCGAAAAAAGGGGGCCAAAAAAGAAAAAAAGTATTGAAAAAAGTGATCCCATCCAATCAGCGAGAGAATATAACAACTCTCTTGTCATGGGAAGGATGATAAGAAGTAAATGTATGCGCCATTGCGTTATGAGACCCTGGGGTTGGAACATTCCCCTTTGGTTAGATAAGCTGTATGGTTTTAATTAGATGCCAAAAGAAGGTTTACATGCTGACAGAAGGTGAGCTGGATAGGTGACGCTTGGGTATGGAGATTGGTCAGAACAGATCACTCGGTGCATATCGAGAAATAACACCTGTTCACTCATTGGAACATCTCAAATGTCAGAGAAAAAGCATTCAAACACTTCCTTCAAATGAAGTTTTAAGCCAAGTACAAAAGAGGTCATGTGGTGCTGTACAGTGGAGAGTCTCTGTGTTGATATAGGGGCAGGGGTGGGGTGGGGAGTGGGGCTGAGGTGTCTGAAACCCACCACTCCCTACTTTGGTGGCACTGGTGCCAGAGACAGTCACACACAGGAGTTTGGAGTCTTCCTGTATTAGAAAGTCTCATCTCAGTGAGCTGTCAGGTGCTTCTCTGAAGTGTTGTCTTCTAGGGTCTTATGGGCAGCTGTTAGTGCCTGTGAGTATAACTTGCTTCAGTTTAGTTAGTGAAAGAAATTGTGACTTCTTGCATGTCTTCAAGTCCCTTCCATTGTTTGTCTTGCTGACTTTTTTTTTTAATGATGACTTCTTAGAATAGTTGATGTCCATCTTTTATCTTTTTTTAAAAAGATTTATTTGTTTATGCATACAAGAGCTGGGGTACAGGCCAGAGATGCGGGAGGGTGAGAGGATTCACCAGAGACAGAGCGGGGAACAGAACAGGCAGATTGACCAAAGTACACTGCTGAGGGGAGCAGCGGGCGAGACAGGAGAGGTCTGCTGCACCATGTGGGTTGCTCCCTGGCTGACTGGAGATCGAACTCGTGCTCTCAAACTTGTGCTTCAGAGGCTGCAGATTGCTTCATAGTGCTGTGTTTAACCCCTTGCGCCACCAGGAAGGCCTGATGTCCTCCTTTTATATGATGTAATGTAGTTTGTGTATTGGAAGTGTTTTCTACTACCCACAAAAAAAAAGAATTTCGCCCCCAAAGGAAAAAGCTAAGAACTTCCAGAAGTTTATTACCCCCAATGTTTCATCTAGTGAGTTCTTTCATAGGCGATAGGAAACGGCCATATCCACATAGAAACAGTACACACTAAAACTTGTTTAAGGGAGTCGAGGTTCTGGTGGCCAAGACTCCCTCTAAGGGTCTCTTGAGTTCTCTTGGGATCCTGTGGCTGACTGAAGGTGAGGATGGGTGTGCCAAGGAAGTGGGGCCATATTCAGTGCGACACTCTGGGGTGCTTCCCTCCTAAGTGGCATGAACCCTGGGAAAGGACCATCTGGAGAGGCCGACACAGCGGGCCTGCAGCCAGGACCGAACTTGCCTCACTGTTTGCCTTGGCTTCCTCAGCTGTAAAATAGACATATCCATTGACACGGAGGTGGAGCGTGGTAATCCAGGACTCTGGGTCAAGTAGACCTGGGCTTGTTTAACCACCTGGTACCTCGAGGCAGTTTCATAACTCGCTGAGCCTCCCTGTGCAGGGGAGCACTCGTGGCCCCAGGGAAGTGCTGGGAAAGGCCCCTGGTGGCTCAGGGCTTAGCATCGCGTCTGGCAGTCCTCCGGCCCCGTGTCATCAGCACCACTGTGCTCCTCCTCCGTCGGGTGGTAGGGAGAGCAGGTGGAATAAAAGGTGTTTTGAAAAGTACCAAGTATTCTCTAATTCTAAGAAATTGCTGCTCTGATTTCTCACATAGATACATGGGTGGGTTTCCCAGTTCTTGCTGATTTTGAAAGTCACGTGCAGTGACTTTCCAAACACAGGTTTTCTTCAGAGTAGGGTGTTATAAGTATGTCTTCTGTTGGCCTCACTTTTTCTCACTTGTGCCTTGTGCTGTGTCCCCAGGTAAAGCAGGCAGAACGCAGCGAGGCGTCTGTCGCTGCCGCCATGCCGTTCCCTTTTGGGAAGTCTCACAAATCTCCAGCAGACATTGTGAAGAACCTGAAGGAGAGCATGGCTGTTCTGGAAAAACAAGACATTTCTGACAAAAAAGCAGAAAAGGTATTTTTGGGGGCTTTATTGTATATTTTTAATCTTTTGATGAGGAGCAATTGTAAGACATATTATGAGCGGATTTTAAGAAATCAATAAATTCAAGTTGGGTTTATTTGGGGCTTTAAAAACATGGTCCTAAAGGGGCCTTTGCAGCTGCTTGAACACAACATCTCCTGTACTGCCATAGAATACATATTTCTGACTTTTTTCTTAGTTTTTCATTTGAGATTTTCAAGTTACATTTTGTTGCTGAAGCGGTTTCTCTGATTTGTTGAGATCGGTGTTTGTATCAGCATTCTTCCTGGGGAGACGCCTCTTCTGGTTTTCTGTGTTCCCTGTACCCGTGATGAGTATTTCCCTTCCAGTCACCACAGTCCAAAATCTGCCTTGGGTCCCAAGTTTATCTCCCTCATCTTCTCCAAAACATGTCGTCATTCACCAAATAGCATGAACTCTCACTTCCTAAAGGGCTTGTGAATCGATCCTGACTTCTGTCTCTATTTGACAAAGATCCTCGTGACCTTTTTATAGACATTAGCAGTGCTTTTTCCAAAATACCACCCCTAGTTTAGCCCTTCAGTTTAGACTCCTCGAGTGGCACAGAGGCCTGCACAGCTGGCCTCTGCATCTCCAGGTGGATTTTTATCCCCTTCCCTTACTCTGGATGCACCAGCGCGCTCAGCCTACCTCTGGGCATGGAGTCCGCTGTACAGTTTTTAATGCCTTTTTCTTGTTCTCCACTCTCCATTTCTGCCTCAGCCCCCATTCATCTTTCATAATCCACATTTCTTTTTCCTTGATGCCCAGAATACTCCCTCCCCTGTCTCACTCTTGCCACATAAACAAATCTTCATTGGCCACCTCCTTTGGAAGTGCCAGGACTGCCTCCGTCTTCAGCCCGATTCTCTTGTGTTCTGTTTTTGTCTTCCTTGCCATGAGAGACCCCTTTGTCACTTCTGGCCGGCCTGTGTAGCCCATATCATCTGACACCATGCTGTTGAGTGGATGAGCATTTGATTGGAATGAAAATTGCCACTTCATCTTTTATTTTAGCAGGTTGTTTTCTGTCTTGGGCTGAAGGTTAGCTTTCTGTCTTTTTAAGTCTAAGACTGATTTACCTGTATTCTCATGAGGGAAAGAAGTTCACACTCATGGGATTAAGATTCGTAATTACAGACTATTGAACTAGTACCCATTTCTGACATTGGAATTAATCTGCAATTAGTAAAATTTTCTATAATTCAATTTCACTGTAAATCTTGCATAAAAGTTCCAGTTTATTGGATGCCTCTAATAAGAGATGTAGATAAATGTTAATACAATTAAACTTTTTTTTTCTTCTATGTCTGGCTTGACAGAAACAGCTGCATTCTCACTTGTGTCTATGTTCTGTGTGCTAGCGTGTTATTTTGGTTGAAGTGTCTATAAAGCCTATGTGACCTCATGGAGGTGTGTACTGGAATGGCATCTAATGAGTAGAGGCCAGAGATGCTGCTAAACATGGGACAGCTCCCCAAGCAAATAATAATCTGGTACTAATGTCAGTAAGACCAAAGTTGAGAATTGCTCTAAACCTCGGCATTAATAGGCCTTCTACTATTAGGATAAACAAAGCAAAGAAGCATAATTGTTTTCTGAAAAACAGATTTCATTTCAAAAGAAGGGAAACAATTCCGAAGAGCTATCCGTGCAAATTTCTTTTTCTGAAATTGATTAAAAAATATAAAAATTTCTGATTTACTTGCCAAGGTGGGAAGGGAAATAGCAAATGATGCAAATGGTAAGAGGAAACTAAGACCTGAAAACATGGAAAGATGAAAACCTAATTACTGAGTTAAAACCATGAAAAACAACTTTGACGGTGTACCTAATAATTAAAATTTGAAGGTAGCCCCATTAAAACCTCAATGCTTACGTGATTTGTTGCATAGCATTGTCCTGGAAAGTCTAGCTGATGCATTTAGAAATAAAATATATAACTACTGCATATACAGAGGAAAGATTTCTGTTGAGATATTCACATCTTCTCAAAACACAACAAAATCAATGCAAAAACAAATAGCTGAAAGAATACAAAATTCATAGCTTTCCTCAATACCAATCATAACTGCCTAGAAATTGTAATTTTTCAAAAAGCATTACATATATAGTAGCAACATAAAAAATTCAAGATGTGGGCCTCCCTGGTGGCTCAAGGGGTTAAGTCTCAGCACTGTGAAGCTATCTGCAGCATGATTTTGATCCCCGGGCAGGGAGCGTTATAACCTACATGGGGCAGCAGACCTCTCCTGTCTCACCTGCTGCTCCCTTCAGCAGTGTATTTCAGTCAATCTGCCTGTTCTGCTCCCCACTCTCTCTCTGGTGAATCATCTTCCCCTTCCACCCCCCCCTCACCTCTGGCCTACACCCCAGTTCTTGTATGCATAAATACATAAAATAAATCTTTTTTTAAAAATTAAGATGTCTGGGAATACTTTAATCAGTATGGAGAACCTATATGAAGAAAACTGTAAAACTGAAATAAAAATACTTCGTCTCTGTTAATTGAATGGGGTATGGATAAGATGCCATTTCTTCTCCAATTAATTTTTAAGCTTGAAGCAATTCCATTCCGCTTAAGCAGGCCATTTGTACAGATGAAGCAGGATCATTTTGTACCTTGACAAAGAGTGATTCTGAAGTTCTAGAAGAATATGTAAAATAGCTCCAAGAATATCTAAAAATTCCAAATCGGGGTGGAATTTAGGAATCTAAATCCAACTTTGTGTTGAAGCAGAACATACTTCCCACATCTACACATAGTCCTCCAGCCATGTGTAGTGGACCTCCTCTTCCTCGATTAGGCCAGAAGACTTGGTGACTCCTGTCACAGTTCCCAAATCCAGTTCATCAGCAGATCTGCCCACTTTAACAGAAAATTAGAAACCAGAATCTAGCCACTTCTCCCCCATTTTTAAAATATCCCTGGTTTGAGCTACCAGTGTCTCTGCTCTGAATTACTGCAGTGTCCTTCTAACTGGTTTCCATTGCTTCCCAACGGCCACAGTGATTCTTTCAAAATGAATCAAAAGGCAAAAAAGGAGGTTTTTACTCCCCTCAGAGTAAAAGTCAAAATCCTTACAAGAGCTGAATTAAGTTCTGCAGGCCAAATCCTGCCTGGTTCTATTTTTGTAAGATCTGTGAACTGAGAATGACGTTTACTTTTTTAAAGGGTTGACTTAAAAAGTAAGGAAGAATCTGCAACTATCTGCCCTTTAATAGAAAAGTTGATCTCATTCTTGCCCATGATCTTGGTCTTCTCTTCTGGTTCTCCCCTCCATTGGCTTCCTTTCTTCAGACATTCCAGTCACTCTCCTGCCTTTAGACCCTTACATTTAGCTGTTCCCTCTTTATGGAATGTTCTTCTCCCCAGCTCTCTGCTGGCTTACTCCCTTATACTCACATCACTTTTCACCCAACGTCCTATTTGAAATACACCCCTGCCTTCTGGCATTTCTATCCCCCATCAACCCTGTCTTGTTCTATCTCATATAGCACTTAACTTCTTTAATATATTTAGTGATGTGTTTATGATTTATTACCCTTGTTAGAATATAAGCCTCCCAAAGATAGAGTGAAATAACTATGTGTATTTATTGAAAATGGACCACGTAACAGAGTTAACATGAAATGCTGTCACCATGTCATACTTCTGGAATCTTTGCTTTCTACTGATGAGGATAAAATAGATATCGCTGAGCATATTGTAGCAATGTACATTGAGTTTGTGACTTGGATGGGGGTGCAGTAGCCAGGTATCTTCTGAATAGCAAGTGGTGGCTCACATGTGGTATCACATTCCTCTTCGGTGCTACCAGCCACTGAAATAGGGAAATAAATGACTTCTCAAGAGGTGTACCCTATTGCTCCTAGTATTCCCCATGTACTTCTGTGCTCATTAATTATTTTCTCCTGTAGTTCAAGAGATGTGATTGGATGAATAATTATACCCAGTGAATCTGATGAGTGAATCACGGTTTGCTTCTAGGCAAGTGTCCAATGATTTGCAGGATACTGTCCTTCTAAGCTGTTTATTTTTTTAAAAATTTATTTATTTTTGCATACAAGAACTGGGGTATAGACCAGAGGTGCGGGGGGTGAGAGGATTCACCAGAGACTGAATGGGGAGCAGAACAGGCAGACTGACTGAAATACACTGCTGAGGGGAGCAGCGGGTAAGACAAGAGAGGTCTGCTGTTCCTTGTGGGTAGCTCCTCAGCTGGGGATCCAACTCTTGCTGCAGTTGCTGCAGATAGCTTCATACTGCTGAGACTTAACCCCTGCATCACCAAGGAGGCCCTGTTTGATATTTATTGTCATTGATTTATATGAGGAGAATTAGCAGACTTCATTAACAGAGTCTGTGAATGTGAGAAGTTGGGGAATAGCAAACTTGTTGAATGACTGAATCAGGCACCAAAAGAAGGGTCATTTAATGGAATAATTGGAGGAGAGATGGAGGGGGAGGACATGACCTTAACTGTTAAAACATGGTATGAATAAAAGTATAGTTCTGTATTAGTATTTAAGAAAAGAGAGTAGATGCCAACAAAGAAAATAAAACTGGATCACTAAAAATAGTTGATTAAACCAAAAGAGGGCATAAGGAGAAGAAAGGGGGATTAAAGAACAGGTCAATAGGACAAATGGGAAACAAATGGCAAGATGGTAGACTCCAGTGTGCCATGTCAGTAAGCACATTAATGGTCTGAACACCCCAATTGAAATGTGGAGATTTTCAAATTGAATGTCCTAACTATATGTGCCTATAAAAATTGTACTTTGAAGATAATGACACAATTAAGTTAAAAGTAAAAGGATGGGAGGGCCTCCCTGGTAGCGCAGGGGTTAAAGTCTTAGCGCTGTCAAAACTATCGCCAGCTACTGTGGCATGAGTTCAATCCCCAGTCAGGGAGCTGACCCACATGGCACAGCAGACCACTCCTGTCTCACCCACTGCTCCCCTC